CACAATGCACGTAGAATTTCTTCTTAAAATCAGGGTTCTGAAGCACTGGTGCTGAGGTAAGTAAGTTTTTTAATTTCTCAAAAGCAATGTGAGCCGCGTCAGTCCAAGCAAATTTCTTTTTGGTAGACAGGAGTTCGGTTATAGGAAACACAACGTTAGAAAAGTTATTTATAAACCTGCAACTCCCATGAATCCTCGAGCCTGTTTTAATGTCTTGGGAACTGGCCATAACCGAACTGCATCGACCTTACTCGGGTCAGTTGAGATACCTGCACGACCTATTACATAACCTAAGTATGGTACTTCGATTACACAAAACTGTGTCTTCGTTATGTTTAATGTTAAATTAGCTTTACGAAATTGTTCAGACAATTTTATAAGAATCGACTAATGGGTTTCAAAATCTTCATAAACTACACAGAGGACATCCAAATAACCAAATACACAATGCTTCAACTCTGATGGGATAAGTTCATTCATTAGTCGGCACATGGTTTGCGGAGCATTACAAAGACCAAAAGGCATGACCGTAAACTGATATAACGGTCGGCCTGGTACCGTAAATGCGGTAATAGCTTTTGACTCTTCTGTTAGGCCAATCTGCCAATATGCATCCTTTAAATAAATTTTTGTAATAATATTTGCTTTAGGCAGTCTTGCAAAAATGCTATCAAAGCTAATCAGGGGATATGCGTCTTTTTTAGTGAGCTGATTTATTTTTCGTGCATCTAAACACAACCGCACTTTTCCTGGTTTTACAACAAGACGCATGGGTGAGCTCCATGGGCTATAATATTTCTCAATAACTCCTAGCTCCAGCATTCTATCAATTTCTTTATACATCAACTTTTCTACAGCTGGGGATACAGGGTAGAATCTTTGTTTAACTGGAGTGGCGTTTCCTACTTCAATATGGTGTTTAATTAACGATGTTTTACCTAATCCCTGTCGTTCAAAATTTGGAAACAAGCGAATAACAGCCTCAAGTCGGGTCTGCTGCTCATTCGTTAGGGGAAATTTATTTTCATTTACGGTGTTCTCTTTATTTGGTATTGGCAACTCGATCGCTGATATAAGACCAGAGGCCAATTCAAACGTTTTCCAAAAATCAATTCCCAATATTACCCGCTTATCTATTGATAGAACTGAACTACTGAACTACTGATAGAACGTAATAATTTTATTGGTATCCCGATAATTCACTTCGGTCTTGATTAAACCTATAACAGGATGTTTCTTTCCATCAGCTGTCTTGACATCTGAAACCATCTTACTGTATTGAGGGCTGCCAGACCAATCGATCATTGCCAAAATCTGCCCCTATACAACTTATGTTCGCCCCAGTGTCCAGTAGTCCATGCTCCGAGAAATTCAAAAATGATACCGGAACATACAAACGACCGTCGGAAGCTTCATTAATAACTGATGAAATTAGTAACTTTCTTGCTGTCTTTACGTTTTTCCAGAAGTTACGCATTCGAATGGTTGAACGTTTAGGTAAATGTTTAATGCTAGCTACTGAGGTTTTAAAAATTCTCTCACGAGCTACCTTATAATTTTCAAATCTTTCATGATATGGTCGTAAGGGCCATAATTTACGATATTGATTGCTGCCAATCAAGGGTCCCTAATGGAAGTTTCCCGCCCGTCGCTGGCACTGTGGCTTATAGACGTTCTTCTCACCGCATCCATAACAAAAAACTTTCCTTTCCTGTAAACGCATGTCCCAAGGATGCCCTTCGATATCACAGTTCCAGCACACTAATTTCTTAGGGACGCGCTGAACGGCTTCTATCTCAAGGTCTGCACTTTCTGCACTCATAACTTGAATGTCCCCTTCCATGCCTGCAACAGTCCGTCTATACGACATCGGAACTGCATTATTTTTCGCTGGGTGTCTAAAATGTCTAAAAAATTAAAAAAAAAAAAAAAATTTAAATAAAATGAATGAATGAATTAATTAATTAAATTAAATTAGAATACATGTTTATGTTCAGTTTTAACAGCATACATTTACATCACGTACCTATGCGTGTTTATATGCGTGTATGTATGCAGCACAAAGTTGAACCAAAGCAGCAACAGCAACAACAGCTGCGGGCAGCGCTGCCGACAGAGCTGCAGGCAGCGCATGAGCAGCGATTTTACTTATGGCTATAACTTTCTTCAGAATTGACCTATCATGATGAAATGATGAAAATTTGGCACACGAACACATTAGTACTAACTGGATGTACCTACCAAAATTGATTTCAAAATTCCAAGAATTACGGAAGTTATAAGAAAAAACACGAATTGCGGGGGAGTGGGGGGTGTATCAGAAAAAATAAACAAACTCGATCTGCCTAGGGCTTATAGGAACCTTGACACCAATTTTGGTTATCCTAGCTCTTGTACTTACTGAGATCCTTGCGCTCATACAGACAGACGGACAGACGGTCAGACGGACAGACAGACAGACAGACGGACGTGGCTATATCGACTCGTCTTGTCATCCTGATCTGCCTCTTTCTGCCTGTTACATACATTCGCACAAAACTAGTATAGCCTTTCACCCTTTGGGTACAGGCTATAAAAAATTTTGATCAATTTTACCTCTCTCGGTATTCGAACTCACGTGTGTAATTGCACATTATATTTCTAAACATATGTACAGTGTATTTCAAATCCGGGACACCCGACTTTAGCTTTTTTACTTGTTTCTTCATAATAAAACTTGGCATACGGGCTCATAACCGCTATCTGGAGGTGTTTGCCAAATCTAAGTACAAAAATCCAAAAAGAATCTGGATACCAAGTTTGGTTGTTCTAGCTCTAGCTCTGAGATCCTTGCGTTCATACAGACGGACGGACAGACGGACATGGCTATATCGACTCGGCTTGTTATCCTGATCAAGAATATATATACTTTGTGGGGTCTGCCACGCCTCCTTCTGTGTGTTACATACATTCGCACAAAACTAGTATAGCCTTTCGCCTTTTGGGTACAGGCTATAAAAACTAAAAAAAAAAAATTAAAAAAAACTAAATTATTAAAAAAAAATGAATGAATTAATTAATTAAATTAAATTAGAATACATGTTTATGTTCAGTTTTAACAGCATACATTTACATTTTTTTTTACTTATGGGTATAACTTTCATCAGAACTGACCTATCATGATGAAATTTGGTACACGGACACATTAGTACTAACTGGATGTACCTACCAAAATTGATTTCAAAATTTCGAGAATAACGGAAGTTATAAGAAAAAACACGAAATGCGGGGGAGTGGGGGGGTGCATCGAAAAAAACTCAAACTCGTACTTTCCCTGTCTTAGGAGAATATGGAAACCAAGTTTGGTTATTCTAGCTCTTATACTTTCTGAGATCCTTGCGTTTATACGGACAGACGGACAGACGGACGGACGGACAAGGCTATATCGACTCGGCTTCTCATCCTGATCAAGAACATATATACTTTGTGGGGTCTGCCACGTCTCCTTCTGTGTGTTACATACATGCGCACAAAACTAGTATAGCCTTTCACCCTTTGGGTACAGGCTATAAAAATGATCTATTATAATGAAACTTGGCATACTGACACATATTCTATAATGGGTGGTATTTGCAAGCTTTGAGTTGAAATTCCAAGAATTGCGGGAGTTATGGAAGATCTATGATTGTGTGGGAGAAAGGGAGCGAGGGAAATGCCAAAATACACATTTTCTGCGTATTCAAACCGACCAACCAATTTTGATCAAATTTCGTGGTAATATTCAAAATAGTCCATTGGGTGCACCTGTAAGTTTCGTGGCGATTCGCCCACGCGATCAGCTATCGCTTTCTGGCGTATTTCTGATTTTCATTTGTTTGACAATCGTTTTTTACTCACTTTGTCAGTGTTTAATTCGTAAATAAATAAAATTCTAAAATCAAAAACAACATTTTTTTCTTATTTTCCTTTTTCGTGTACAGGTACAGGGTATTTAAGAGTTGAGCTCGCTCGACTTTACCAGTCCTTTCTTGCTTTTAATAATTTATTTAATTTTTTTTTAATTTTCCTTTTTTGTGGAGAGTACAGGCTATTTCACGGTCGGGCTTGCTCGACTGTAGCGTTCTCTCTTGTTTTTTCTCTGTTGTTTACAGAGCTTATGTTCTTACTCGTTGACATTACTTTATTTTTGTCACAAAATTATGATCAATTTACATGGGTCATACGAGCATACAGTGCTCATGCATACCCTGAGCGCCTTTTCGCGAATTAATTTGGTTAATTTTGCGTTAATTGCACTATATTTTTAACACACGGCGGATCAAAATAAAAATACGTCCGACGTCTACGACGTTCACTTGCAATTGATATTCAGCAAAAAATTTTATATTAATTTGTATACCCTGTACCCGTAGGGTAAAAAGGGTATATTAGGTTTGTGCAAAGTATGTAACATGCAGAAGGAAGCATCTCCGACCCCATAAAGTATATATATTCTGAATCAGCATGACGAGAGAAATCGATCTAGACATGTCCGTCCGTCTGGATATACGCAAGGATCTCAAAAATTATAAAGGCTAGAATAACAAAAGTTGGTATCCAGATTCTCCTAGGTCCGAGAAAGGACGAGTTTATTTTATTTTTTTGAATTTTCCCCCCTTCCCCCGCTACAGATACAATAGCGACCACATTTCAAATGCTACCTAAACCAAACTTTGCACACATCATTTATATATAATTGTTTACTGTTGTTCAAAATTTTATTCAAACAAAACACAACAAATTCTCGCCAGTACAACCCCCCGAAACTGCAGCAACAAGTTCGCTCTTCTTCCTCTTTTTGCTGCTGCTATGGGCGCATATAACTTAGGGACGGAAGTTTACATGGGTACAGGGTATTACACTGTCGGGCTTGCTCGACTGTAGCGTTCTCTCTTGTTTTTTAAGTTAAGACGGGCAATACCCGTCTTAACCCGAACTTTTTTATTGAGCTAACTTTAAATTCAAAGAACACGCATTTTCAGTTCGACGCCATTGAAAATGGAATCCAGATATCGAAGTTGGTCCAAATATTCTCTAAGCAAGCCGCTATGATTGATGCACTTATTTCTCACTTCACTGATCAGATAAACAAAAGGAATCTGGATGAAAATTCTCAAGAGCAGTTTCATGATGGTAAGTATTTTGTATGATAATTTTCTCAACTTGGGGGGTTTGTATACATAGGGTTGCGATCATTAATATTTATACTTTATACATAAAATGTACAAGAGTATATTAGGTTTGCGGGAGCTGAAAATGTAACAGGCAGAAGGAGGCGTGGCAGACCCCACAAAGAATATACATTCTTGTTCAGCATGACGAGACGAGTCGATCTAGCCCTGTCTGTCTGTCCGTCTGTCCGTCTGTGCGCATGAACACCTGGATCTCAGATACCATAAAAGCTAGAGACACCAAATTTTGCACAAAGATGCCTTATGTGTGTACGCTGTGCAAGTTTGTTTTATTTTTTTGATTTCTCCCCCCACTTCCCCCCTATGGTGGTTTTCCCGATTTTCCATTCGTATAATCGTCTATATCTCGGAGACTATAAGGCCTGGGGACACCAAATTTTAGTCCCAGATGCCTTATGAGAATACGCAGAAAATGTGTATTTTGGAATTTCCCTTCCTCTCCTCTCTCCCGTGCAAATCGTAACTCCCGTAATTCTTGGAATTTCGAACTCAAACTTGGCAAATACCTCCATTTAGTTATTATATGCCCAAATGCCAGTTTCATCATGATAGGCCGATTTAACAGGAAGTTATAGCTATATATGTACATAAGGCCAAGTAGTGCCCGTAGATGTTGTTGTTGTTACTGCTTTGCTCAGGCACAGGAGACATACACAGACACACACAAACACACACATACACGCATAATTATTCTACACATATGTACAGAGTATTTCAAAGTCGGTATACCCGACTTTAGCTTCTCTGCTTGTTTTCTTGAAGCTTTTTACCCTATGGGTATGTGTAAGGTTTGTGCAAAATATGTAACAGGTAGAAAGACGCATCTCCGACCCCGATGACGGGCATCTACTTCAGCCGCACTCGATGTTGGTGTACTCCAGGTGTCTCGTCTTGCGTTGACATCGAGAGTATGTTGGAAGAGCAACTGCGGCTAGTGCCGGAGTAATATATGTACTTAGAAGTTGGTCATTTTTGGGATACAATATAAACCTGAATTACAAAATATAAAAGCGGTGCGGTCGAAACCAAAATAAAAGAAGTAAAAAAGCTGAAGTCAGGTGTCCCGACATTGAAATACTCTATACATATGCTTACAATAAGTATAAAAATTTAAAACAAAAAGTTTGTTGGTCGATTTGACCTCTTTCGGTATTCGAACTCACGTGTGTATTGTGTGTGTAATTGCACATTTACAAAGCAATTGCGTCTATGTGAGTGTATGTATGTCTATGCGCGTCTTTTCGTGTCTGTGTAAACATGTTTGCAGTCAACCAAAGCACCAGCATCAGCTAATTTGGTTCAACTTTGTGCTGCATACATACACGCACATAAACATGCAGAGACACGATGATGTAAATGCATGCTGTTGAAACTGCACATGAACATGTTACCACTTTTGTATATATAGTACATGTATGTATTGAATAAGTTGTATTTAATTAAATTAATATAATTTATATACCCTGTACCCGTACGGTAAAAAGGATATATTAGGTTTGTGCAAAGTATGTAACATGCAGAAGGAAGCATCTCCGACCCTATAAAGTATATATATTCTGAATCAGCATGACGAGAGAAATCGATCTAGACATGTCCGTCCGTCTGTCCGTCCGTCTGTCCGTCCGTCTGTCCGTCCGTCTGTCCGTCCGTCTGTCTGTCTGGATGAACACTATAAAAGCAAGAATAACCAAATTTTGTATCCAGATTCTCCTATGTCCGAGAAAGGACAAGTTTATTGTATTTTTTGGAATTTATCCTTTCTTCCCCCGCTACAGAATTTCATCAATACCGTCCACATTTCTACAGCTACCCTAACCAAACTTTGCACACATAATTTATACATAGTCTACATTTGTTTCAAATTTCATTTATATCGGTTAATTCTAACAAAAGTTAGCGAAACAAATTCTCTACAGTACAACCCCACCAAACTGCAGCAACAAGTTCGCTCTTCGTCCACTCAGGTACAGGGTATTTAAGAGTTGAGCTCGCTCGACTTTAGCATTCCTTCCTTGTTTTATACTCTGTAAATGAAATGTACATGAGTATATTAGGTTTGCGGGAGGTGAAAAATGTAACAGGCAGAAGGAGGCGTGGCAGACCCAAAGTATATATATTCCTGATCAGCATGACAAGACGAGTCGATCTATGTCTGTCTGTCTGTCTGTCCGTCTGCTGTCCGTATAAGCACCTGGATCTCAGAGACTATAAGAGATAGAGACACCAAATTGCACAAAGATGCCTTATGTGTGTACGCTGTGGAAGTTTGTTTTATTTTTTGATTCCCCCCCCCCCCCCCCTACTTCCCCCCTATGGGGGTTTTCCCGATTTTCCGTTAGTATAATCACCTATATCTGGGATACTATGAGACCTAAGGACAGAAAATATGTATTTTAGAATTTTGCTTCCTCCCCCTCTCTCCGCGGGAATTCGTGATTATCCATAACTCCCGTACTTCTTGGAATTTTTCATGTAGTATTCTCATATGTCTCATATGTATCCGGTGCCCATCATATATATTAAACAGCAACACTTTGTTGCTGCATAAACATAATTCAAACAGTGACACTTTTTCACTACGTAAGCATAAGTCAAGTGCAATGACTTGAAAGTAGCTGCCGCAATCAAAGCCGCGTCAGCATTACTACAACTTACAACTATAAATAATCAAATGGGAAGTGTTTTTATTTCTGCCCGGATCAATTCTTTTTTCTATGTGAAAATTTACCAACAAAATACCCTAAAATAAGCTACACAAAAACTTATCGTTTCATCTCAAACGTTCTATTTTGTAAACCTAACTCTTATACTCATACACATAAATATATACATAAAATGTACAAGAGTATATTAGGTTTGCGCGAGCTGAAAAATGTAACGTGACAGACCCCACAAAGTATATATATTCTTGTTCAGCATGACGAGACGAGTCGATCTAGCCCTGTCTGTCTGTCTGTCTGTCCGTCTGTCCGTATGAACACCTGGATCTCAGAGACCAAAAGAGCTAGAGACACCAAATTTTGCACAAAGATGCCTTATGTGTGTACGCTGTGCAAGTTTGTTTTATTTTTTTGTTTTTCCCCCCACTTCCCCTCTATGGGGGTTTTCCCGATTTTCCATTCGTATAATCGCCTATATCTCGCAGACTATAAGACCTAGGAACACCAAATTTTAGTCCCAGATGCCTTATGTGAATACGCAGAAAATGTGTATTTTGGAATTTCTCTCCCTCCCCCCTCTCCCATGCAAATCGTAACTCCCGTAGTTCTTGGAATTTCGAACTAAAATTTGGGAAATACCCTTAGTTGGTTATTATGTGTCCGAGTGCCCAGTTTCATCATGACAGACCGATTTAACAAGAAGTTATAGCCATAAATATATTTGCTGCGGCAGCGCTGCTCAAGCGCTGCCCACGGCTGTTGTTGATGTTGCCGTTTGGTTGACTGCGAACATGTTTACATAGACACGAATATACGAGCATATACATACATACACTCACATAGACGCAATTGCTTTGTATATGTGCAATTATACACCCTTTACGTGAGTTTGAATACCAAAAGAGGTAAAATGGATCAAATTTTTTTTTTGTAATTTTATTACTTTTTTTAATTTCTATAATTATTCTAAACATATGTACAGAGTATTTCAAAGTTGGGACACCCGACTTTAGCTTTTTTACTTGTTTTTACATGGTGCCGAAACCCGGGAACGTAGTGTCTGTCGTTATTCTAAAATTCATGAGGTTGATTAGACATATACAATCAAGAAGAATAACTAACGGGCGTGTTTCAGTTACTCAAGGCGTTGATTAAATACATATATAATCAAGAAGATGGATCCTGCTTATAGATCCACCTGCAGAACGCAACTAACCAAGTTGTGTAATAATATCGACAAGTACCTCAAGGTGGTCGAGGATGACACTGAGGAGGGCTTGAGCGTGTACGTGCAACGACTAAAAAACGCACACGCAAACCTAAAATTTGCAGATGAGCAAGCTTTGTCAGCTCCATTTGGCGAAGACGAAAAGGAAAGAGATTACGACGTAATTATTGAATATGATCACCGAGCTGTAAGTACAGTCGCGAGGTTGGAATATAGGCTGCACCGCATGGCTATATCGGCTCATCAGGCCATTTCCACTCAAAACCCTATAACGGGCCACAATGAGACAGGCCTTGAAAATGAGCGACAATCGGAAGGCAGCAACAGTTATAAGAGCTTCACTAAATTAAAGCCAATCGAGCTAAAGAAATTCAATGGATCGTTCGATACCCTTTTGGGAGCAGTTTGAAATAGCTGTGCATGAAAATAGCTCGTTGGATGCAGTCGCAAGATTTAATTATTTAAATGGTGCTCTAACAGGTGAAGCAGGCGCAGTTCTTGAAGGATTAATTCCGTCCGAAACATGCTACAAAGATGCCGTCGAGCTGCTACTCGAAGAGTATGGAAGCACAGAGAAAATAATTGAGAGGTATGTGCAAAAACTGTTGAGTGTGAAGGCCGCCCAGTCAAACAATGACGTGAAGGGTCTGCGCCAACTATATAATGAAACGCAGGCAACAATAAGAACATTAAAGGCACTCGGAGTTTCCACGTCTCAATATGAGATTATGGTTACTTCACTTCTTCTAAAATCAATTCCAGTTGGCATGCGCATAGAATATCATAGAGTACTCAAACGAGAGGAACTCTCGCACAAAGCGCTCAGTTCGACAGTGATTGAGTCAAAAGTCGAAGTCGAAGCATTAGAGAAAGCGCAACTGTCCGAAGTTGGAAATAGGGATAAGAGAGAACGAGACGGCAAGGAAACCAAAATCACTCGAGAAGCAGGCAATGCGACGGCAGTAGGGCTATATGCTATCGAACAAACGAAACAGAAACAATGCATATTTTGCAAACGTACGAATCACGACACAAAGGAGTGTAAAGATAAAA